AATATATACCTAATACATTAAGCGCCGGTTTCACCACCTCTATATAAGTACCTGATAAACTAATCTAACAGGTAGTTCATACAAATTACGTTCTTAATTCAAATTTATTTGCTATCGGCTATCCAGATATTGTGAAACAGGCCCTTAATATACCTACCACCTAGTCAATTATCATGGCAGTTCCACAAAGTGGTGACGTTGATGAATTCAATTAGTCAACATATTCATCATAATCTATTTAGACCCATGTGTTGGTTAATCCCTTCCCTGAGAGCTTTGTATAGCCCGAGTTAGTTTTAAGTCGAGAACGAAACGTTATTGCGTTTGGCGCTCTGATTGGCAGGCCCCAATGAACCAATGAAAAGGCTAAACGCGGTAACGATTCGATCTCGTTAAACGTAAAACAAATTCGTATTAGGCCCTCTGGAGACCGCCTGCTACGTGCTACACAGTCTAGTCGGTAACTATTTGTTAAATGTCAATGTCACGCAACCACTGCTAGGCCAATTGATGTGGTTATGTGATTTTTGGCATGTTAAAGGGATGCCTATTACAGTGCTGTGATAATAAATTTTAACATTGGAGAATAATACCTATGTTGCGGTTGTTTTACCTACACAGTATGACGTCACGCGGTCCCGCCACTAATGTGTAGACAGGAGTCGAGAATCGCGGATAAGCAGAAAAACTTGCCGAAAATGGTGTGACTGTTGTGAGCCCATACACAACACACTACCGTTACTAGGTATTTTGGAAAGTCTTAAAAATAGTTTCATCCGAGAACCGGATGCAAAATACCTCAGTGAACCATCGCGGCAATAGCAACAAGTAGCGACAGGTACTTCATTATTTTTTCAACATTTTTAATAGGGCGAGAATTAGCAGACTGTGATGCAGAGCCGTTCCTATTATCCTTAAGACAAACTAAGCAAGTGACGCCTCTGACCTGATGGTAAACTACGTAGAAGTACCTACAGCGCTGCTCATGGACGACGGACTAAATGTTGTAGAGCCATGCTGCGGCACGAATGGGCCGGCTCGACCGGAGTGATACCACGGCCTCGCAGAAAACCGACGTGACACAACACTTGCGTTGTGTTTCGTCGTATCCTAATTAGCTCCCTCCCCAACCCCAACAATTCTAAAACTCCTAACTCATAAAAGGCCGGCAACGCACTTGTAACGTCTCTGGTATTTCGGATGTCCATAGGCGACGCCGATTGCTTGCCATCAGGTAATCCGGCTTATTCTATAAAAACAAAACGCCAGTTGAGTCACAAGCCCGTTGCAGACCCTTTAAAAGGGAGATATCTAACTAGGCTCTTTTCTTAAATGACGTACTTATCGGTTAGTTTTAATTTAGGTAACGGTGTTTAAGGCATTTCCAGACGGTGCCAAACTGTTGGCGACGGCCATAATATCTCAGTTCTATGAACCACTTGACCTCTGAATCTGAAGAATCTAAGGAGAATAACGTTCAAGATAGAAATGATTTTCTATGAAACTGGTATCTATTATTGTACTGATTTTATAGGATCGCTTTCGTATCTGATACTGATAGATAGGCACTTATTTGAATTTATAACTACTACCTAAATAAAGTATATTGGCTTCAATCTAGGTAAATGGCTATCGTCTGCACTTGAGAATTTAAGATGTTTATCTGCCTAGATAGGTAAAAATAAATTGAATACTTCGTAGAAAATGGCTCCAGTGTCTGTTAGTAGCTAAGTGAATACTTTAGTAGGTATATACCTACCTTAAAATATCGTAAGTGTCTTTAAGTAGGTAACATTATTTAACTTGACGGTGAAATCTTGATACCTACCTCCTCATCAATTACCCCATGATAGTCTACTATCGAACTGGACATTATCTACCAAGGGTTTGCAATAATCTCTAAGATTGGCAGCAGATTTGAGATCACTGTTTAAAAAGTTGAAGTTTATCAAAAATCACTGTTGCCGAGTCTCTTTCAATGTGTAGGTAATAACTAAATTGGATTTGACGATACCCACCGATACAATAGGAATAGTGACAATGAATAAATTCTACTCAACATAGGTACTGGCTTTATTCAAATGGATACAAGTCCAACTAGCCTACTTACACGAGGTGTCCGTTCGGTTCCTGCGTATGAAATTAGGAATCAATGGGATTTTTAGCATGAAGTCCGGATTGGTGACTGGTGTATAGCAATAGGCTCGCTACCGAACGTACGAGTCACGAAGCAAGAACATAGAAGTCATGAAGCAAGTACCTACGCCAAGTAACCGCATAACTCACAAAAAGTGAGCCTGTACCTACCCATTACATAAACATTATGTGTTAAATCAATGCCATTTTTTGTCTTTTTACAATGATTAGTGCCTATTAGGAGCCACCTAGCCTAATAAAAGAAAAATAAGCTACTTTTAGAACAGAACGGCCGTAAGACGTCCACTGCCGGACAAAGGCCTCCCCCTTAGTCCTCCACGTCGAACGACAACTTGCCGCTTGCATCCACTGGCTCCCCGCAACTCTGGCGATGTCGTCGGTCCACCTAACGAGAGGCCTACCCACGCTTCGTCTTCAGGTCCAAATAATATAACTTTTAGAATAGCTTATTTTTATTATAATAGGTATCTTATATTGGATCCAGGGGTAAAATGTTTAAAAATAAAACAACACTATATTTTTTTTATTTATTAAACCAGAAATTACTACACATGCATTCACCGTTTATCGGTCCGCTTAAAAGTTACTGTAAGTAAAGTGATAAATATTTAATGATTACCTCATAAAATGAATCCGTTTACACAATTGTAAATAGAAAACTAGGATCTCTAACGAAATGTTAAACCAGAACTTAATGTTAGTATTAAAAACAGCTTCATAGCCCCACCGAATAATTGCTGTCGAGTTATAAACAAACAAGAATTAGATAAACGAGTGTTTTTGAGTGCACGTTACTGATATTGTCACGAGACTTCTCGTGGTCAAATCGGTCAACGGTTAAAACGGATAAACAACGTCATGTCCCTAATAAGTGCAAAATCGCAAACCCTTGATTCATTGTATACAAATGAATAACTTCATTATTGTCACCCTCCCCCCACTCTCCCAATTCATTTCATTATCACATTTTAAACCCACATATCCACATATTTTCTGGATCAATAATATCGTATTGCACATCATTCGGTGGGATCTTAGAAGTACATAAGGCAAACAGGCCCACACACCATTTCTCATAAAAAATTCATGTAAAATACATTTAACTTTAAAACACAATAATAACTTGATTTACGCTAATAAGCGAGTAATTAGATAAAATTAGTGTGAAATCAAATGTAGTTAAGTATTCGAAGTATAACAAAGAATAATGAAGTTATTAACAAACTATAATCAAAACATGATAGAATGGATTAAAATAATATAAAAGATTGCACACGTGTACGGACGATTGAGAAGACAATAGTACTCATTTAGTTAAGTACTGGTAATATATGCATTGGACCTATTTTTTAAATACTCATACGCCACTTAGGTGTTACGAACTCTCCGTATATCTGTGTAGTATGAACTCGTTAGTTAACATACGACAGCAAACTTCAGGAGACTTTAAATCTAAGTTGCGTTTGAGTACTCAAGTCACTATTTTCAAACACCGAGAATTGTTCACAATTGTGGATTTGGCTAATTATTTATTTATGTTAAGAATAAAATCTACGTCCATAATAGTAAGATACATTTATATGAATTAACACAGAATACCTATTTGATTATTGTTTGTAAATGACGTAAAGAATTGACAGAAACTATCTGGAAATAATTACTGACTATGAAATTGAATAATTAACTAGATTTCTACTGTTATATTTATGTCTACTCGGCTTATTAAGTATTGTATATTGGAGACGATGAACTTGGAGGTTAATATTGTACTTAGACAATTACGGGATCGGGGTATTTAGGACAAAGATAAACACATTAACTGTAGACATCAATCCTTTCTAGTTCTAGTTTTAAAAATCCACGTCAAATATCAATTCAGACTCTTCAAATCCAAACCTTGTGTTTTCAAGCTCAATCATTGTGATTTATCATGTGCGAGACTCCGTCGACTTACCGCCCTAAGCAAACCAAAATTTTGAGCAGCTTTGATATTTGATGAGAACAGTAATTACAACTATTATAATAAACACATATTAATTGTAGACATCTATCGTTTATGGATAATTATTTAAGTATGATAACTCGCTTACTTAGGCGATTACATTCCTAACCATTTACTGTTCCTACTTTAATATTGATTAATTAAACGTTGAAATATTTTTAACCAATTCTAAGTAAAATGTTTGAACGGTACAGTAAATACCCGATTACATGGAAGGAAATACATATAATACTTTGCCAATACTCATTCATAAATCTTTCCCAACTGAACTAGGGTCGGCACTAAGTCTTAACCCGGTATGTCTTAATGTCTGTGTTTTACAGGCAGCGTCACAACCATCATCCCACAATAAATATTGTAAGTAATACGTATTGTAAAATAAGAAAAATGTATTTCATTAATGTTACAACTTCGAAAATATATTTCGTGTCATCCTTGAGTAAATAAATTTAAAAATAAATAATGTGTCTTCTGTAAAAATATTACATAGAGTACTTCATAAATTAATCTTAAGATCCCAAGAAAATCAGTACATGTCTTTTGGACATCAAATAAATCAAATGTACGTTTAAAATTATACTAATACATTATCAACGAATTCATGATTCCATCAAACTAGTTGCATGCCTACGACTGAGGGCGCGGTGAATATAATCGGGTTTCCACTGTATATAAGTTACAATAATATTAATTTATTACCTATTGCATTAATTTAACATTTAGACATTGAGAGACCATTGGAAACTATGAGTCCTAACTGCAAGCTGTAAATATGTAGAACACCGTAAACTATAAGCAAACTACTATTGAATAAGCCGAATACAATGGCTTACAAATGTATTCACTCCTCTTCCTTTGGTTGCCCGCCACCGTTCTCTTGTGGCGGCGTTACACTACTACTTGTCCTGGAAATTTATAAAATCATTATTTGTGACATCATCTTATTGTAAAAAGCACGAAAGAAGAATGAACAGGCCTATGCCAAAACACACTTTAGCATTACCAACATTGAAATAATTTAAAGAATTTTTTGTTATTACAATAACCTTACAACAGAATTTACTTTCACTTTTTGTACAAAGTTCAGACAACTCAGTCGACTGATATAATGACCATATTTTGTCGTAATTTGAATGTAGGACATACCAAAGTACGCGTAAATATGCGGGAAAGTCTAATGATTTCTTGTAAATATTAAATATTGTAAGTATTTTGCGTACCTATTCGTGTTAATAAATCGAGCGGCAGACGTGAATCGCGTTGCGTCGTAATCCGTGGAATTAGCAGCACGCTCCCGAACATAGTTCCGCATATATTCACGGAATGCAATGCGCATCGGGGCGTTGTCCTGCGCTTGTGCTTGCATGGTAGCAGGCCGATCATTGGCTGCTTCACGCAAACTCTCTGCCAAGGTAACAAATAGCATTTTAAAACATAACCTCCAAACTCATTATGACATGCAACCATAGATATTTCAATTTCAATAAAATAATTAATTTAGAGAAAGAAACTCCAATAAAAAGCTTCTCATTAGCATAGCATAGTAATTAAAATTAATTGTAAATGTACATACCTTCCATAAATCCGTTTAGTGTATTAGGCGGTCGAGTCTGGCGTAGGCATCGCCGCTTGCGCGACGGCATCCCCGAAATATAGGCATCGCTGTACGGCTCCTGCGGCTCCGATCGCTGATTCTGTTGATCACGAGTGAACACTGGCACCCACTCCTCGCCCCAGTGCTGTAGAATCATCAACGGCGGTACCTGCATAGCGCCCAGTACAACCATACATTAAGCAATGCATGTGCAACGCCAACTAATACAATCGTGCCAATAATTTCTCAATTATGCCACAATTACGCTCTCTATATTTCCACTTCCACGTTCCATCACCGCTGCTTACATAAACACAACAAAAACTGAACACGATATAACGGCTTCAAGTTTTCCGACTCGAAGTAGGTGCTAATTTATTATTCCTAAAAATTTAAATACAGTAGCAATTGAAAATTATAATTTGGTGATTTGAAAACACGTTGTCAAAAGAAACATCTACAATGTTTTAGTGTGTGTAATTTCCGTGTTTTTTATTGCGTTTTGTAGTATGTATGTGTATACACATAACTACACACGTAGGTAACATTTGATTTGATAGTAGTGTAAATGCGACTTACGAATCGTAAGTTTTGATCACTCGCGTTGCGTGTCGGAGACGCCGGCTCACTCCTTTCCTTCGGGGTCCTAGATAATATACAAAATTAATAGTACACAAATCGACACAAGAGTGCAACTATATCTACAAAATAAAAATAACTTGATTGTTATTTTATTCCCCAAGAACAAACTTCTAATCGGCCGTTAGTTTAGTTGGACTTTGAAGAAAATGATTTGGCCCATATAGATGCATATAAATTATTGTATTTATTTGACTTAATTAGCGAAGTATGCAATAATTACTGATGTGATTGTGTTATATGTTATGTTGATTACAATGGTTAGGTTAGATACGCAGATGACAAGAGCTAACTAAAGCTTGATTAAAAGATTTTTTTTATTGTCAAAGGCTTCTACAGACTATGCCGTAACATATGGTTAGGCACGTAATACACGCTATCCGGCTGCCGGCATAAACATGTATGCAGTAACAAATGCCAGCCTGATTATGCCGGTAGTGAGATTCATACGTTCGTCGAAAATCCGCTCGTTATGTTGGCGACATAGTTCGTAAGAGCCAAAAGAAAGCAAGTAAAATGATTAATTGTTAGCAGAGAAGAGAAATCGAAACCTTGCATCGTGGCCATTTCAGACTAGTGCTAAGAAAAAAAATAAACAAATAAAAAAAACAAAGAGGCTCAACGCCGAAAGATATTAAGATCCGAACTAAGCTATCGGCTGATTAAAAATCTTTAGTCAGGGGTACCTTAGAACTCACATAACACGACTGGGCGAGGTGACGGGAGACTGCGGGGCTGTGTTGGAGGTGACGGTGTGCGAGGCGGCGCTAGTAGGCGCCGCGGCCACCGTGGACGCGGCCGCCTGCACTGAGCCCGAGCTCGTGCTCACCGGGGTCTCTTCTTGTACTGAAGGAGCTGCGCTGGACTGAGAACTCTCATTAGTTATTGCTGGCTCTTCACGAACCGGCTGTGACGGCGGTGACACTTCCATCGGAGTGGGTTGCTCGTCGTCTTCCGATGCTGGCGGCTGAAATATCAATTAAATAATAATATCTTGTCTCGCTTATACTCGTATATCGTCAGACAACTTACCGATACCACGAAGCGTGCTCCGCGATCTCGTGATCGGCGGTGAAGATGTTGCTGAATGTGAGCGCAATGGGAACCCAGTGTGTTTATAATGGCATTCAGATTCTCATTGGCAAGTACTAAAACCATTTCCTGAATAGATTCGTCGAAGTAGCGAATTCTAATATCCTGAGAAAAGACATATTTTAAAGTGAGAAACGAAATAAGTGTAGACGTATAACTATTAAATTAAAATGTCAGCAAATGCTTACCAAGAAAGTCCTATAAAGCTGACGCAAACCCTCAAGGCCTTCAACGCATAAGTGTGAAATCAAAGTGCAGAAATCAGTGTAGAGCCGAGAGAAGACAGCGTAGAATCGAGCGGGGTACATCTCTCCAGTAGAGTCCGACATAACTGCGCCGATCAGGGCGGGGAGGCGAGCACGGAATAACGACCGGATGGAAGCGTATGCATCAAATTCTTTACGCATAGGAGTGATAGCATGCTGTGGAAATTAAATTGTATAAAATATAAGTAATTTCATATCGAATCATAAATAATAGTCGAATTTTCAATAAGAATTTTGATACAAATATTGTAATTTTACCACAGAGACTTTTGTTTATCATTGATAGTCATTTGGTTAGGAATATTGTTTTATAATTCTTAATTCAAATCAAATAAAGGAACACAAATTTAAAAAAGGTAGATATAACAAATTACCATGTCACGAATAAAATCGCGGAATTCGCTGACAAAGAAATCTGTTACAGACAATACTGAGGAGTCAGATCCTTGTGAGGTAGCCCTAGTAGTGAGGTTATGTATGTAGTTGCGCAGTAGGACGCGCAGCTGCATGAACTCGTGGGGGACGAGCACTGGTTCCCCGTTCATCGACTGAAGTGGTTCAGGAAGGAACAAGTGACGAGCCTAGAATAAATAAATAGTGTTTTAGTAATTAATAGTCACAGTAACAGGAATAGTTTGGGTGATCCCGCATGAGACTTAAGTTCAAATATTCAAATGTAACAAAATTCTAAGATGTTCTCAATATATATATATCACTAGAAATACTTAACAAAGTGATGGAGATAGCATGATATTTATGCAGAACTTCAAATTAAGTAAAATGTATTCGGTATTCGGGTGTTGGTAAAATGTTTGCCCAGGTATTTAGTAAACATGCGAGTGATCACACTATAAAATGTTTTTAAACAAGAACAAGAACGCATTTAAAATATCAAGTGTAAAGGTATTGTACAATAACACCTAATTGTAACACCTGTAGGAAAATGTATTTCATAGTAACAGTAATATAGCTTATTTTACTTTACTTAACGTTTTATTATTATCAATTATCAATACTTACAACCGTCAGCAAGAAAGCATTGAACCAAGATTCCTGCGAAGGAGCGCTGTTGAGAAGACGCACAATAATAGTCATGTGCTCCTGAAATGGAAAGTTCATGCTAAATTAACATGACCAACGTCTAAAAATGTCTACTTACAATTTAGAAACTGAAATCCAAGTAATAACCAACGTCAATGTGTGTGTCAGTAACTAAACAACTGTTATAATCAATCAGGTGCCTGCGCGACGCTCGCCTACGATATGAGCCCCTGGCGTGGCTTGAAACTAGTCAAGTTATCTCAATCATCAAGAGTAAACCGTACAACATAATAAACATTTTTGTATTTATAGTACTTACATCATTAATGTGATGATTTCGGTGCATTAAATACTCAATGTTCTGTGCGGCCACTCGCTCAGCTCGAGCTCGTTCCTGCTGTACCAGCTGTTGTTGCTGTTGCTCCCTAAATTAAAGATAATAACACGTTTTAGGTACAAAAATTATACATAATTCATCGCTTTTAGCTAATTCTTAGTTGTTACGGGAATTTGGTCCAATAAGACGTAAGGCGATATGATCGCAGTGAAACGAAATATAATTGTATGTAAATAGCGGCTCCATCCATTCAGCTTTCAGTGAAGAAAAGGCTACAAAATAGACATATACATATTTTTGTATGTTTTATGTATGAGTGCATATTTATATGAGTGTTTCCACGTACCTGCGGCGCTGCAGACGACGACGAGCGTGCTGACTATCGCATTGCAAAAATCGATCATAAATCAGTGTAGCTAGAGACACAGCCTGAGCGCGAGTCGTGGTCGTAGCACGGCGAAGGTGCAGACTCGCAGCTGTGACAAACATAATATCATTAATTACCAGTCAGATTGTAGTGTACTCACGACTTAGCATAAGAAAATGTATAGAACGAAAAGTGCAAAATAAACTCAAAAATACCACATACGTTGAGAATTCGACGTGGTGTTCGTCGAGTTCGCGTCCTGGCTAGCCGTTGCAGGTGTCTGTCCAGTGCCCAACTGTGTGGTTTGTCCAGTTTGTCCAGCCTGTGCAGTTTGAGCAGTTTGAGCAGTTTGCGCAGCTTGTGCAGCCTGCAAGGCCTCAGCCACTTGGTTAGGGTGTGGCGCTAGCAATGTTGCTGCTGATTGGTAGTTCGAGTTCTGCAGGGCCTGCAGTACTGGTGCCAGTTGAGCTGCGGTCGGCACGCTCGGGATGTGCAAGGTCACACCCTCGACGCCAGGCACGAGGCCCTGGCGGATCACCGATGATACGATGTTTTGCAGCAAGTCCGCACTTGGTGCTCCGCCCCAAGGCATCGGAGCAACGTATACTAAAAAAAAATATTACTTTTTAGTAATTTAATTAGAAGAGAGAATTTTAGAATAATAAAGCATGAGAACGTAATATTGAAATGACGATACCTCCGCCCTCGCCTGCTGCGGGTTGTGAGCCAGTAGTAGTTCCAGTGCCTGTTCCAGTTGCAGCACCAGTGCCAGTACCGGTGCCAGTGCCAGTGCCCGTGCCAGTAGCCGTGGCAGTGGCAGTGGCAGTGGCCGTGGCAGTAGCCGTGGCAGTGGTAGTGCCAGTACCAGCGGTAGCACTAGTGTTAGTTGCATTGCCAGTGCTGGTGCCAGTGACAGTAGCCGTAGCAGTAGCATTACCGGTACCAGTACCGGTGCCGCTTCCAGTTCCGCTATTAGAACCGGTAAGTATCGTGCCAACGCCAACAGGACCTCCGTGCGGTATCTCCTCCATACTCATCACAACTTCTACTCCACCAAGACCGGCGGATTGGCTCAATCCTCTAAACAAATTCTCAAAATCTACGACAAGTACAAAATACATGGGTATTTAATGAAATAAAATACAATTAAATAATAGACTAGAGCATCAAGCAAGGTTTATAGATTACAAGAGGTACAATCTACATGACATACAATATGAAAATGTATCGAATTAACTAAGCTTCGAAATTAAATGAACTCAGGTTGAAATATAATTAACATTAAGTACTTTGTTAAAGATTGAGCCGGTGGCATTTACAAATTTCTACGTAATAGTTTCAATTGAGATAGAGAGAGAGACAGATACGCAGTCACGGAGAGTATGCCCCTGATCAAGCAATGGGGTACTTACCAAGTAGTACTTGACGCCTGTTGGCACCGGCGCCGTTGTTGCCCTGTTCCTGAGCATTTACCACCGCTGCAGCGTTAGTCAAACCGTTCAGCAGAGCATTCTCTAAGGGGAATGCGATGGGAACCCTTGTTTCTATCTCTACTTGATACGTGATGGGATCTGGCTGAATGTTTATGTTGACGGTTGGTTGGGTAGTCCTACCGGCATGAGCAGTGGTGTGTCCGCTTGGTTGGACTCCCTGAACGCTCGTGATACCGTCGCCAGCAATAGACGTTTGGATAGTGGGGCCCCTGTTGCCGGCCGGTCGAGTGGCCGTGTTGGTTGCTGGGCCAGTTTGTGCCTGGGCCGCGGGCTGCGCCGTCGCTTGCTGTTGCTGAGGATTCGCCGCAGACTGGGGATTCTGTGACTGCGGTTGTTGCTGCGCTGACTGTTGTTGTGGAGTACGTCGGTTAGACTGCACTACGTTGATATGTGCCTAGACAACCAAAAAAGACCATTATCATTGCATAACACTGATACTTATATTCCTTCTTTCATATTGTCTATTCAAAAAGCATATACCTGCATCGGAATAGGGTGACGTACGACGGTGGTATCAGAAGTAAGTCGTGGATTGCGTTGACCGACTTGGAAGTTGATGTCGCTAATGGCATGGTAGGCGTGCGCGAAACTGTGCATTATATCTGTTACCATGTCCACAGTACGCTGAGCACTAATACGTTCTTCTTCTGAGTATACAGGTGGCTGTGGATTAAAAGATATTTTATTAAAAACCAGTCAAGTCAGAGTTCATACTTAGCAGCAAAATAATTACGTTCATTGTATGGGAGAACTCTTTGAACGACATCACACACAAATCCCAGCTACCTTGCTATCACGGTTCCTGAGGGGAACAAAGTAATGGAGTCCTGTTTCAACTCTCTGGGCTTAGAACTCCAAAAAACAAAACATGTAAATGTTGTATTTTACCTCAGGATTATTGGCGGCTCTGAGCATCCTGATGTAGTTGGCCCGGTATGGCGTGAATTGTTCCTGGAGAGTTTCTAATTCTTCAAGCAACTGGGCAAGGTCACGTGGTCTGGTGTGGCGAGCGCGCAGTGCTCGTATGGCCCTATAGCTTCTTTGATAAATGTAATACATTTGGTGTCAATATCTTGCCAGTTACATTTTAAAGGTTTAAGGTTTTTACAGTTCAATATAAAAACAAATCTATATTTTGAAAAAAAAAAACAATCTAAATCAGATCTTTATCATTTTATCTTTGACTCCAAGTCATTATTATTAGTGGCTTTTAAATATACTTGTTTTCGAACTATGTGAAATGTATAACTTTCTATTAAATATTATAATTTAAGTTTATACCTTCGGCGAGCGTTTTGGGCTCGAGCTGCGGCGTCGGTGGTTTCATCGCCATTTTCGTCAAGTAGGGGTTCAGGCTGCATAAAACATAAAATAACAGTTTAATATCTCCAAACATCCACTTCCAATCGAAACATTATGTAGTTACATGAGAATAATTGAAGCCAATACAATAATGAACTGATAAGTTGCCGTTATAATCAATCTCTCAATTCCGGAGTATAGACATTGCGAACTAAAACGTGATCGATTTCTAAAAGGCCGAGAGAATATTGTATTTAAATTGAAATTTTCATCCAAAGTCATAGTAGGAAAATGTGAGGCGTAACTATTCTTTTCATTTTTTCCGCAAAATATAATAGACATAACATATTTATAAGTTTCTTGAGTAACCTCATCCTTAAAAAAGCTGGCAGAAGACTAATATGTATAAAAATAAAGGTATAACAAGAGCAACACCAAATCATATTTCACTTCTTGATGATAATGAGACAAAGAGAATTTTAACGGTATCTGACATTGGTATACAAGTATGGTCAACACACTTTCACTGGGATTCTTATTCTTACGAAAGAAATCCATTATAAATCTTAATTCCTCATTTACAATGACTTAAAAGTAATCCACAATAGGTATAATTTCCATTCGACCAATCGGAACCATGAATACAGTGGTCATGTACACCAGTGCCAATCAAGAGCCTTCAAAATGCCATGCATAGTGTTTGGTTCCAATGATTCGTTATAGATAATAAAAGACAACCCATGTTGTCAACTAAATAGATAAGTTATCAGCTACTGAATCTAGTTTCTAGTGCTCTTTGTCAGTATTCTACACGATCAATCACATTCAGATTAGATTTGAAATTGATAATGGTTGTTTCAAAAACCGTTCTAGTTTTAACTAATTATGTTTCATTTTATTATGTTTAGAGATTATAAAGAATAGAGTACTTACTACAAAAGTTATGGTAATAACATTAAGACTATGTATATTATAACGCGCTACATAATATTAACAAACATTAATACATATTATAATGTCACTACATGCTAATGTATACCTATAACAGTACATTTACTAAGCCTAACAAGCTCACTAAGGATTTTTGAGGAGTTATCACAAAAATAGTGGACACGAAAACATATGGGACCACGGTAGACTTATGAGGCTGAGCAATATAGGTTTTAAACCATACAACTATGTTGAAGGTAAAGCAAAAAAAATGTTAATTTTGTATACTGAAGGCCACAGTTGAAATTTTAAAGAGTTAAACAGAGCTCAGTATCTATCTAATACCTTTAAACGAATAATTCTTGTATATGTAGATCAACGATCCCGAAAACTGCTTCAACTATTGAAATTTTTTGTGGAGTTTCGGGGGACTGGCTAGGTTACATTTTCAAAAAATGTCGTTTACTAAAAATGTTCTCTCAAACACGGAGACGGAAATTTTCGTGTGATCGAAGTTCGATTTAAAACTAAAGACTTTATATTCCACCACTACTGTTGATTTCTAATCTTGGTGAACCAAGGCGATGAAGGTCATAAACGACTCCAGTCGCATATCGATCTAAATCGATACCAAATAAATTACATCCAGGGTCATTAAATATGAAGAGGCGCTCTACATGCACTACTTGATTTTCTAAGAACTTTCACAGGCTTATCGATTTTATGCTATTTCTGTCTATGTTACACCGATACTTCGCTGTGGCCAGCACGTTACAATGCTTTGCATAAGTTCGCTATAGGTTGATTATTTATTAAAGAGAAAGATACATTTTTTATATGGAACGAATCTTACAATATTTGTTACACGCAATTTTTAATTTATGTATGGTATTTCTACACCCTTTGAGTAAAACAGTGTGATGTGAAAGTTATCACTTTATATAGGTATTTCAAGAGAGTAAAATAATTTTATTATTATGGTTTGTGTAATTAAATCACGAACAACGCGTCAAATACACATGATTACAGTGCTGTTATGAACAGACACAACACATTCAATAATAAACCCCCACAGTTTGCAGTCTGTAAGTTCATTCGCAAAGAAATTACATTTTGATCCAAATCCTCATGAATCTGCCGTAGTACCATACGTGATCAATCCAAATAATAAAGAGTAAATGTAAAACATGACAAGCTCATACCGCAACTACAAAAACAATAGATTACCTCGTCATGCTGCGTACCGGACGCTGGTTCAGTATCCATTTGCTCAGTAGGACTTTCACCGCTTGCTGGTGAACTCCTATTTTCCTACAGTAGGCACATTAACAACATAAACAACTATAAACGAAAATTCCATCTATATCATGATATTATAACAATACATACATATAATAATCACTACAACGTTTTGTAGATCCGATTGATTTCATAAATTTCTCATCGCATCAGCAAAACTATAGAAATTATTTTAAAAGTAACAAAACAAAAACATTAACATGCAGATTCATAGTTTAAAAAACATGCAGATTGTCAGAAAGGGAAAATTTTATTGTAATCAAAATAGTTTCAAGACCTTTTCTAAACCATGCAAAATCGATTAGGATTTTAAATCAACGTTATTTAATTACAAAAGGCCATTATCTATTAATGCCATTAATTTCGTACGTTCAATATCAAAATACATACAGATTTTCCGACAAGACCAGACCAAGACAACACCTCCGTCACACAGACAGTGCGCAATCCAACTGCAGTTAATGGAGTTTGTTGGGGCGCCTCATTATGCCTTGATATTTTATTCAGTATCCCCCCACGAACAGGTTAATTTTCCCGTATAAATCGATATTAGTTCATTATGCAGCCAGATGTTAGAAAGGGAAAAGGGACAGGGACATAGAACACGTACAGCCATTACTGCAAACACTAAATATTACTTATTTGATACTACTACACCTTATTAGATTCGGATACGACGCCTTATGGGGAACATCTCCATCTACAAATCTTACCTCTCCTTCGACATGCGCTCTAAGGGAGGCGAGCGATGCTTTGATTTCTGCGATCATTCGGCGAATGAACTCAAGGCGGCCGGTAGTTGGTGACATCGTCACTTGTTGGTCCATCAAAAAGTCAGAAGGCCCGGCAAGCGACTACAAAAATAAAGTTATTATTACACAAACGACATTATAGCTATTATATCTGAGTATAAGCAATCGTAGACGTCGTGCGAAATTAAATGATTGAATAAGACGGAAGCGCATTTCCTTGTATCAGTAGGGTCAGCAGTAAGGCAAAAGTAAAAAGGGTTCGCATTGGAACGCTCCGCGCCGGCAGTTAATAAGGATGCATGTGGCGCCGACAACCAGCGTTTCATACTTTTATTTATTTGCACAGACTTCTACCCACATTTTCGTCTCAGTATAAATTTGATGCTCTGTTCCCGTGGGAATTATATTTTTTAATTACCTTTCTGTGCGAATTTTTGAAAAAAATCTTCTCAAATTTTCTCAAGTCTCAGATTTCTTTCAATTTAGTCAAGGTACATGTTTTTGATCTTTCTACCCCCAGTAGCTTAGCTTAGCATTGTCTGCCAGTATTAAGTCGATTTTACATTAGTGTCTATTAAATAAACATAAGCCAATTTCATATTTAATTTTATGTCAAATAGGGATGTGCAGAGAGACGGGAAGTCATATGTAAAAAAATGCAACTACCCCCCACCGCGACGGTTAGAACATCTTTAATAAAAAATCAAACAAGCGGAAGCTCATTTCAATGTTTCATTACAGAGTGCTTGTAACTAACTTTTAGCTCCAGTATCAGATCAGCATCATATTGCCATGATAATGTATATTTTATGAAAAAAAAATATTTCAATCGGTAGTTTGTTTAAATGGTGCATAAAACGTCCGTTTTATACGTTTGGGGACGAAAAAGGACTAAAACAATTGTCATATTCTTGTTACGGCGACCCCGGCTCGGAGCAGGAGTTACGAGTCAGTAATTTGACACACCCTCGCCCAGGGCAGAAGGGGCCATTTGATGATGAGTCTTAACAAAAGTTGTTTCTTGTGATGTTTTTGAGGGGAATTAACAAAGAAATTACCATCAGCCTCCTTATCTGTTGTTGCATGTTGTTGGAGCCAGTGTTTTCAGATCCGGAGTTGGCAGTCGGTGCACTTGGGGCGCTCTGCCGTGTCTCAGGCCCAGGTGGTGCACGCTGCACCAAGTGTACGACTTTGCCGTTGACATCTGTGTAAGAGCGAAGATTCATGTTACTGAATACTGAAAGTTACGAATAGTGCTGTATACTTATTAGTATACAGCTGAACGTTTTATACTGGCATACTACTAAATTTTATTCTATTATTTTATTGTTATACTAGTTTTCTAGTATGAAATCATGTTTTGTTGTTGTTGTAGTTGTGATACGAAATCTGGCCAGCTAAACTTATTGGACCAATTATACTTCAATACCTTCTTTACTTTTCTTTTTGTTTTCGTGGTTATTTTGTGACCCGGGGCTGAGACAGATACTTTCTCAAGTTTGAAGTCGTATTGAAAGATAACTTCAGCCATCATTAACGTTACATACTATCAAAATAAACTATGTCTACATGTTTTCTACGAATTACATATGTAATTACCATATTCTGCAAGACGTTTCTCATCTTGCAGTACTCTGCCACAGAAAATTAGACGTTGAAGGCTTGGTTCTATTCCCATCTGCTCCCTCACCTTCTCTTTAAGCTGTTCCACCGTGATCTGGAAAGATAGGGAATAAAACATCAATAGGGAACGAGGTACCTTATTATTTAGTACTTTTGATTGCAGTAAAGTGGTATCTTTTTTTTAAACTCGCTGTACTAAAGAGGTTTTTCTCTTCTCTTCATCAGGCATCTTTTACTCTCATGAGATATACCTAATACTTATTCTTGATATCACACAGAAATAAATAATACCAGGTTCCCTCAGCGAAACCTCAAGGACCAGAGTTTACTTAAATACTACATTAAAAAAATATTACAAAAAATCGACTCTGATTCTTTCTTTAAACCTTTTCAAGCGGGTTATTATATTTCCTTTTTTATTCTTTTGCAGTATTATCTCAGGCAAAATAAAGCGTATTAGCCGCCGACAATATAATTTTAGAACAAGACATCTGCTATCGGTTTACATCCCAGAATTTGTTTTCTCTTTTTTTCGAGTTCTTTATGTGCGTCTTAAAGTATTGCACAATTTTATTCCTGATTTGGTTGAAACCAACTACTCATTTGCTTAAACATAATGACAACTGGAATTAGAACAACTTCCGTTCGTATGTACCTCACCTACCTACCTAGTCAGATCTACTAAATACAGGTACAAAAGCAACACTGTTGCAATCAGTTGATCTTTACGGTACCTAAACATTAAAATATACCTATTCTGTTTATTTTGATTTTAACAAAAGAGTTCCAGATTATATGTGCAACTTTGTTGCAAGTACTATGTTTACTTAAGATGCATCTTTGTCCCAATAGTATGCGAGGGGTTAAGGTAAAATTATTTTCAAAAGGTGGGTACTAGGTATTCATTACTTAGAATTCAGGTCTGCCAGGTTAATAGGCTAAGATGCATACATGAAATTACGATAACGAAGTAATAACACATACGTATTATGTTCATTGTACAATTACAATACACAACAAAGTATTGCACCTTTTGCTTTGATGAGTGCACTGCCCGTGCGAAATCAAATATGAAGATACATTTTAATATAAGTAGGTGTAGGGATAAAAGCGACGCGGGATAGAGCAACTACAGGCCCAGACAGAGCTCAGGTGGGGGGCGGGCGGGGGTAGCTAGATCGAATGCGCGCAGCCGGCCACTCTCCTCTAACAAATATGAAGGTACTTAACTACACACAATGTATGCAGCCAGATTCATAACGTACTACATTGGTAATACGGGTGCATCCAAGCGCCATGCCACACCCAACAATAGCTCAGATCAATAAAAACAGTAAATTGAAACACAAAGGCTAGCTTGTGGCACGTGGTGCTTCAATTGATATCATGTATCTGCTGAACATTTGACCTTTTTCAAAGTAACCACAATAGGAAATGGTAATTTTTGTGGCTTTGCTTGCATATCAAAGTAGCAATAAACATATTTTAATAAATATCGATATTTGAATATACTAACTAGGTAAATAGTTAAAATAATAAATATAATAATAAGAGAGTTTCAACAAGATGTTCGCATAGCCAATATTTTAGATATATTTTAACACCCATATCAGTAAGATTGGCATTGAACTTTGACCCTTCACTGTTATGACATAACAGTTTAGGTAGGCCCTTCTATCATGAGCTTAACACTCGATAAGTTAGGAGTATAATACATAATTTATATCGTTCCTTTATCGGGCACCTTGAAATAAGAATGTTCAACTTAGCTTTGCTCAGTTATTATTAAATCATAAATTACCATACTATTTGTTCGGCACACAGCGCAACGGAAACTGCGAGCTAAGTATGTCCTTTTCATTATTTCATTAATAAAGCTTTAAGAATTTTAAGCTAAACGCAGACATAATTCGAAAGAAAATCGCTTAATGCATTTGAGCAATCTAAAGTGAATGCTATCATAAATATTTCGCACTGTTTCTTTGTTCCTCGCCAAGCGCGGTGCATAGCTTAAATCAATAATTTACAACCTATGTAGATACAGTACACACAGCCAAGCGTCTGGTTTATTGAAATTGATGCATGCGCAGTACGATCGCAAAATCAATAGCTTGATGGAGAAGACAGGTACGAAGCAACTACTGCCACGTGGTGAGCAAAATTCGATATGAAATGGCGTTCATTGGTATATACGGTATAATATAAATGCATTCGCCTTGTTCACGCTGCGGCCATTTTAAAGCGTACGTGATGTTGATTATGAGATATAACTACATCAAAATGTCGCAAATATCATAAAAAGTATGCATCGGAATTACGCATAAGACGATATGTATTATTACGCGCAGCAAGAACCTAACTATTTAATAATGATTAAAATAGTCTGGAATTTTTATTAGGGGTATTATTTAACTGCTTTAGCTGTCAGACATAATGTAATAGAATGCACTTGACAGGGAAGCATTATTTTGATACTAGCTACTTCCGCGCGGTTTCACACACTCTGCTCAGCTCCTATTGGTCGTAGCGTCATGTTTTATAGCCTATAGCCATCCTCGATAAATGCACTATCCAACACAAAAAGAATTGAACAGACAGACTTGTAGTTACGGAGATTAGCGCGTTCAAACAAAAAACAACAAAAAAGCAAACTATTCCGCTTTATATAATAGTATAAGATAATTGGTAAGTTGCATAAACTGAACGGCAATTGACAAGCTTCCTGCTACAACAAGTGCGAGTCTCGCCCCCTATTGTACTAAGCCCGCTAAATAGAGATCTCATCCTATATCTGAGGTCAACTTATAATGGAAACCAACCGTGTAATTTGCAGTCGGTGTATGAACCAGTATCAAACGAACAAGGTTATATTAAACCATAAATTGTGTTTGCAACCGCATGCAACAACTCCCTATTTAGCTCATAAATGTAAACTGAGTAGGTACTCAAAACTATGCATTTTACCTAGTTACAGGTAGTTAATTAATTTATAGTTTGTAAAAAATCCAGGTGTGATTTTTTGTAATTTGACAAGAGATCTTTAATAAGTTCTTTAATAAAACAGTATTATTTATGCAACGCAGTATAATTTTAGAAGTTATGACGTCGCATGACAATTTTATCTACCTTCAATAATACACTTTATTTAAAAAAAATAGGTAGGTACTTAACTAATATATTGCAATTTATTTGACCAGTATTCAGTTGCTTATTTATTTCAACTAGCAAACTTATTGCATCGAGTGTGTTTTTCAATTAGAACGGAGACTGCAACTAAATTCCATCTTAAATGGAATGAACATGCAATGGCTGTGTCCATTAATTGAGGTAGATTACAATTTATCAACAAGTCTGTAGGCTAAGAAGGACTGACGATGCGATTTTTCGGCGGAATGGAGGTGGAATTTTCAAAACTCACGCCGCATTTTCTGCTATCCCGCAGCCGCCGCAGTTGTGGTTATTGCCCGCCAACTTGGCGGTTGATAATCGCAAGACGGGTGGGCTGTTAAACAATCAGTTGAGTTCCAGACCGGCCGTCCCATTGCGATCGCCAGCCAACCGATCGCACCCTAGCCGCCGTAGCTACGGATCCGCGGCCGCGCCTACCGATGCAGCGGGAGCCGCAAACAATACAAACAAACCGCCGCGGACGTAAAACGTACCGTGAAAAACGCTTTGATTCTTTACATACATATCTGTATTCTATAAAGGCTGCGGACCCGTAACAACGGCGGGCGCAGGAGAAAATCGCGTGAGTCCTTAGCCTAAGCCTCTCTAGACTTTACAAAAATATAATACTGAGGTTTTAAGAGGTCGATGTTGTACTCAAAAAACAAATACTCGTTTAAAATCTCTTTAGGTCAACTGTTTTTTAAATAAGTTGAAAAAAAGGACTTTACAGATAAAATAATTCATTTATTTCGACCAATATTCTGACTATTTTAATATATTGTAAAAATAATGAATTAATGAACTAATCAGATTACTTTTAGATTTTGTCGTAAATTCAGCTACACTTAGTCGGTAATTTTACTTCGAAAGACAGTTGGTCGAATAACGGAACGTCGACTGAACGATTGATCGAATGGAGTTTATTTCGAAACAATCTTTTATCGATCAACGCTACTTTCGACTGAATTATTTACCAAACATTGATTGATCGATATATTCTTATTTCTAAATATTCGATAGTTTAATCATTTGTGTAAAATTTTAATAAAACAATGTATTTCGTCACAATTCATACTACTAGGTTATACAACGGTGCTCCACATATGTTTTTCATAGATTCAGAAACATGAAATGTAGTGAATAGGAAGAATTAATAGTGTACGTAATAATTATAAATAGAAAAATGTTCATTGATTTAAGAAACATCTGTTTTGGTATTTTTTGATTCTTTAACGCCCTTATAAACTACATTTTCTCTATACATGATAGTGTGGCATTAAACACACCAAATTAGCAGAATACCATTGAATCGTGGCATCATCAATACAACGGGTTAAATTTTCAGGGTGTTAAAGATTCACAAATTAACTTAACACATTTTTGAAACACCGTAATATTTATGAAGTAACATATGACATTCAAATTATTAAACTATAGAATAACTATTTCGAAATAACAATATTTCAATTAATAGAAATTCGGTAAACCGTTCAGTCGAAGTAGCGTTGATCAACAAAAGACTCTTTCGAAGTAAACTCCAGTCGACGTTCTGTAGTTCAACAAAACATTTATTTATTTATTTATACGGCCAACTGTCTTTCGAAATAAAATAACTAACCCCTAGTTCAGCTATACTTGTGTTTAAAGACGACTTGTTGTGTAATGTAGGGTAGGCACAAATCATAGGATGACAAGTACATACTGCTAACAACTAACAACAAAGACCTAGTCAACCGTATCCGCTACTGTTCCCAGCCCCTATCGCGCGCAGCAAATATGGCACAATTGGCAATGCAATAGTGTTCAGAAGCACATCTTGACTTTATTGAAAAATACTCAAGACAAAATCGGAATACTGAAAATTAGACCCATAATATGAGTCTAACTTTCAATAAAAAGTAAATTACTTATTTGAGCAGGTATTTTTTAAGTGTATTTTATAAATTAAAATTAATGTCAATCTTACTAGCTGATTTACCAAATATTGTAACTGTGAATAGTAAAAATATTTAAGGTCCCGGCCGCAGTACGGCGAAACCACGGTAGATTTTAACCGCGTTAATTTGTGAATAAAGAAATCGAATGCAAGTGACTAGCGGTGATTAAGGTTACTTTGTATACAGCTCATATGTTCTACCATAGTGCGGTCGGGGCCCAGACCCTTACACAAAATGAAACAAAATAATACAAATTGCATAAGCATACTTAAGATATAATAAAGAACATACATAATAACACATATTTAAAACAGCTTCTTTAAACAAAGGTTCAATGTTCCAGCAGATTATCTTTTCTCTGACACATGTCTAAGCTTGTTGATTGGTTGGTTCGGACGTGGTATAAAGAATTCAAGCTTATTGATTGGCCCACATTGCCAGGCAGTGGACACTAACCACCCCACACTTAAGGAAGGATTACAGGAACTACTACTACTAGGTTAATGTTACAATGTCACAAGGTTACTGTCAAGGCATGACTTGTTTATACTAAACATTGGGAGTTCTTTTAATATTGTTTGTACTAGTTGAATGCATTATATTCTTTATGTAGAACTCTGAACTGAACTGTTTAATTTAGTGGTAGTAGTACTAAGAGAGTAAATGCAGTGCCTGTCATATAAACTAATTTTGAGCAAAAGAACAAATAACTTTGTTCTATTAATATTAAAAGTAGCTAATTATGTATTAGGATATGGAATATATGACCTACTTCAATTAAATGATATCGTTTGTACCAGCCTATACATGCTTGTACTTGTATGCACCTGCCGCTGCCTAAGAAATGAAAGATAAGCTAGCAATTCACAAATTAGTCCAATCATTGAATCATATCAGTTAGATATTCATTATTTTCTGATAAAATTATGCCTAGCAATCATAAAAGTAATAAATACTTAGAAAAAAAAGAGAAATGGTATTCTTGTAAATACTCAAAAGTGTCACCCGTTAAAAAGATGTACTTAGTACTTAAAAGAGTGTCATTTTAAAATCAAAAAGTTTGGTCCCCAAGTTGTAAGAGTGGTTATCAAACATCAGATCGATCTGTCATCAGAAAGGGAGTAAAATCCCTATTACAAAATTTTACCCAAACAAACAAATGGGGCGAGCAAAATACATCCATCTAACCTCTTGTCTGCGCTTATATGAGACATAACACTCTATAGAAAACATCTTGTCTTGAGTAGATCTGTGTTCCAGTATACAACTGGTCAGTGAGAAAAATTGCAGATGTTGCGGTTCTATTCTACAATGTGATGCACCTTGCAGTATACGCAGTTGTTATAAAATAATAAAAGTTTCATTTCCATTTGTCAAAATTTCAATTTCACAATCAAAAAGTTAATCATACTGTTTCAATCTTTATTTAAGTCAGTGGATTAGATTTAGGGCTTGTTTCACCACTTAGAAATCAGTTTTTGTTACTTAAAGAACACAGTACATCATTTGACTCAATTTAAATCAATGATGTGTCAAATTATCTATTAGTCACTATTATTTAACACCATCTCTTAGCACGAGATGGTGGCCATACACCATCATATTGAATATAAATATTAATATTAACCAAAAACTAATCAGATATGTAGTAAAGCAGAATTTAAAAGTACAGTTCTAGTTAATCATGATTTAAAAATAGTTAATTATGATAGACTGAGTGGTGAAGAGTTGATGTATTGAACAAGTACCCATCTTAACAACCATGTAAACACTATATATTACCATTAGGGCAAAGTCCATTTAACTAATCTAGGTAACTAACTAAATCTTAAGACAAATAAATGGAATCATGCTCCATCTGAATAAATAGATTCTTTTCTGTATCTGTTTATATTGACAGGACCATTGAACATTATTACGTACGTCCATAAATTTTTCGTCATTAGTTACATTTACTGTTTAAGACTGATTCAGATGAAATGAGTAAAGCTATAATGCCATTTGATATGCATGAAGGTACATTTAGAAGTTCCTAATAATAATTTTTTACCCAAAATGAGTTATAAATATTACATTTTGCATGCGTAGCACATCATCGCAGTTTCCACAAAGTAAGTCAGGCAAAGGTCATACCATACCAATAATTCATTGTACACACTGTGTGTATGATGAATGTGACGATGCCTGTTATTAGTAAGTGGTAGCTTATTGTTCACAAATTGCTATGATGACATGAACTATTTATATCATAATTGCAATGTATGATCTGAGAATAATAAATTATTGGCTTAGATCATGAAATCAGTAATATTTAGAGAATTACAGCAGATCTTGTTGTGTATGTGACATAAGGTCACTACAAGTTGTTTGCCGGAATGCAGATCATGTCAAGATTTTTTTTTTCTATTGTCAAATTTCCAATATAAGCAGGAAGCAAGAGGGTATACTGAATAGTCACTTATTCTTTAAAAAGAGAAAATTGGACAATACACTTGTATGAGAAGTATTCACGCTCCTTTGTAATGAAGATGCAGAGATGTGTACTTAACACATCTCTATACAATGTGGTACCTTAGCTTGGGCTTGAAATTTGTTACTGGTTTTATTTATCTTTTAATTTAAGTGGAAAGTTTTTTTTTATAAAATGTTTTAATTTTTATCTCATACTCAACTTTTTCAACATTTTTATCATCTTTTTTGTTTTAATGTAAGCTAAAAAGCTATATGCATGCAGTGGTTACCTATAATTGTGAGTATAGATAGTCTTAAGGTATTATTTAAGACAAAAATATTTTCATTGTGCAATATTGCTGTATTTAAGTTGGTGACCCTCTATATTTATTGGAGTACTGCAGTAACTACTGATACGTGAGAGGAGGACAGCCTGCTGGATCCTGAAGCGGTCACTGTTAATCGCTCCACTCACTCCGTCTTAGATCTTATTTCTGATGTCTAAAACCTATTTTTGTATGAACAATGTTGTAGATTTTTCAAGTTTAGTAAGGTACTATATATCAAATCAAACACTGGCAGTTATTCCGATGTGACAGCTTAGCTAAATGCTGTTTTTTCATCATTACCACCATATCCTTTAGTTAGCATACTATTCTTATATTACCCTACTACTACAACTTGATACCAATCCTAAATTCCAATTGTATTCTCATTTCCACTGTGAGAACACCTTTGAGCAAAAAGTCTGAGTAGTTGACAAATACCCTCAACTTCCATGTGAAAATGCCGAAGGAGACAAACTATGCAAGTTGTCTAAAACTGTTGAAATAATATTAGGAGTAGATTAAACTGCTTCAGAATTAATCCATAAACATGTAATTTGTTGCAACAAAATAGTATTTTATTATAGTTTGTCAAATAGCAATCATTCATTAGAGGATTACAAGCCTCTCAATGGTTCTTTGTGACATATAGCTATATGTAGGTAACTACCTACCTACCTACTATAAGTTTTGCATCCTACTCAAACCTCCATATTTTATTGATTACCTAGTCTGGTTCAGGGGAGCTAGAATAGGGTTTATAGTACCAGATACGTGTCAAAGGGCGTCAACTTGATATCTGTGAATAATGATCATAACCCGTGACGCTAAAAACAGCGAAATTCCAGCAATTAGCATCTTATAAGAAAAATATTCAGATACCTTCATCTTGAAAACCTGCTAAAAGAACAGTAAAAATTACTTACCTCATCGTCGACTGAGAACCGGTGGTTATTGGAATCCAATGTTTTTATCGTAAACTCAATCATTTTTTACACGAAAACATGAACGCCCATAGAAGGCAGATAATTTGACGCGTGCCTAAAACAACAAAAGCCTGATTTTAAAACGTTTTCCAAGTACTCTTTCACACTCGAGATACTACACAATCAATATATTGATTACTCACGTCTATCACAATAAATTTTTTACATAAATTGCTGACGATTTAAAATAAATTTTAATCGGATCGGAGTGTGCATTTGATGCCTGATGGTGACAGCAATCAAAAGACAGACAGAGTTGCCAATTCATAAATTTATAGCAACTGGATTGATCAAAAAATCAACCATTATAAATTGGTACGTGACGGAAAGATACACTGACATGCGTGAACTGAAAGTGACATTGTTTGTGACATTTGCTTTGGAAACTAACGCCACCTTGGAAGTTCCAAATATACTGGAGGTATAGCCACAGGACAAAAATGAAATAAATATCGATTTATTCGCACAGATACCTAAATACCACCATACCACATAAATAAATTATTGTAATATTTTTAGAATTTAAATAATTATTACATCTAACACTTTCTCTCATAACAATAATAAAAATCTATTCTTAAAAATTTCAAACTAGTATTAATTTCCGTTTCAAATTTAAAAACCGGTATTACCATAAATATGAAGTAAATATCTCAATAGTACATATTTTTTTATTAAAACGAGATGTCTTTACAAATGCTTCACAAAGATATAAACACAATAACATTTGTTAAACAATTTTAGTTTTAGTCGATTCTCAGCAAGCTTTACAATCGATTCAATACCATAAAGTTAGATGATAGTGTTGAGCAAATGGACATGAATAATGGCGGACTAAGCTGAAAAAGTCAAAGTCAATGTCGAAATCAAAATAATTTATTTCAATCTTAAACCAGGAAAGCACTTTTGAAAGTCAACAAAAAAAATATTTGACGTTATTTGCTCATTCCAAGGTGAGATTCTAGAAGAACGAGCAAGAAACTCTTTAGGTTACTCTTTTTCAATCAGGTTAGCAGGCTAAATGGCGGGAATTCAAAATGTATAGTTAGTTCCATGATACTACATCTCAAACAAATACATAATTATAAGTGTTAAAGCCAAGATTTTAAATTAAAAAATAAATTATTGATTGTTACTTTTGAAGCAGTAAATATTTATTTTGGGTTTTTTTAAGTTTATTGATTATTGTTATCTAATTTCTCAGTAAGGTATGAAAAATATGATTGTATGCGCAGTCGAAAGTAATACTTACATGCTTATATGTGTTTTAAGATTAATACAGTAGTGTGCTTATATGGATTCTAGGTAACGCTTCCTGAAGGTGCATGTGCTCGTATGCTGCATCATCGTTTACCACCAGACGAGATAGTGGCTAAACACTAAACCATAACCAATTTATGAAAAAGTACCTACACGTATTACAGGTATCAGTAGAATCGGTTTACTGTTTCCGTGTACTCTACCCGGTTTCGTATTGCGATTCATCCCGAAGAGCCACATAATCGAGGTACCGGTTTTTGAAATCCCTCGAGTAAAGAGTGTATAACACCTAGGTAAAGCTCAGCGTAGAAAATGCGGTAGAATAAATAGAATATAATAAACTAGGTTAATAGAATATTATACTAGGTAAATTAGTAACAAATCTCTGGTACAACAAATCATAGGTACGCCCTGACCAAATGAAGCTACGCGTGTGTGGAGTTGCAACACACAGGATGCTGAGAATGTCAATCACGCGATCCATCAGTCGTCATCTGATCTTGTCATCGGTGAGCCCAAGAAGCGCCAGGCACAAATCACAGTTGTAGGCATCCCAACTTCTTTGGTTGACACTGACTTATTAAAGGTACATTCACGAGCAAAAAATTGCTAATAATTTCCCAGAGATAACCATGAAGTCCTTTTTAGCAGCAATTAAACTAAGCCATAAATCTATAACTTCATTGTAGAATTTTCAGCTAACATCCTGCCTCATAGCTTGCCTTGGAATTTTACATTAGGCACAATAACTAACTACCAAAAGTGTGGACGTGCAGCTAAATAATGAAGAGACCTCTCATCATGTAGACACTGCGGAGAAACAGGATACCTCAGCCTTTGTCTTCAACATAAGGCGTGATTATGTTATATATTTAAATGTATGTGTGTCAAATTTACATAGCTTCAAGACGTTCGAAATATTTTTGTGTAAGTATGAATTGTGTTGTTCTTTAATTAATACACAGAGTTAATACTCGTTTCACCTGTGATATAGGATTCTCCTTTTACAAGTATTTGAAATACACGAGATGTGTATCGTATAAATAATACCTTTACTTATATTTTATAAACTGAATATATATATAGTTTCTGCCAATAATATAAATAGAATGTAGGTAGGTATCCCAACAAGCGACGAAGGAGTTTTACAAATCCACCCGATTATAGATTTATTGGTTAAGTAATTAAGTACCATCCTCTCTAACGTGTAACTATGCCGTTTAGGTACTGCTACTACCAATCCCTCCGAATTGATTACTACCGTTATGGCGAAGATATCAAAGGTATTAAAGTGCTACATTGGTCATAGGTAAGCAGCATAAACGCATGTATCACTTACACTTCCAAATACAATGATATCATCATCGAGGCTAGCTAATCCTTTTCCTCGCTTCGGACTCCGGATGAACTAAGACAAAATGAAGGTAATTCATTAATTTATCGTATTTACCCATTGGTAAATATTAAACCAACACGTTCTTTCGGACCCGATTGCCTCTCATGAGAGGCTCGGGCAAACTCATCTGAAAGAATATCTGAACATAGAAACAACATCTAAAAGGACGTTCATAGAATTATACCTACCTACGGCTTGACTAGGTGACGTGCGGGAAACTCAAGTCGTTTCGTTACATAGGTGTACCTACGGCAATGCCTCTTTATCGAGTGCGTTCTTTTAGTATGATTATGATAAACAGAGTCGAAACGTGGGACTTGACAATGACGAGAGGACAGTGCATCTGGTCTAAAGGTCAAGTAGCTCTCTATAGAGAGTGCAACGCTCGGAGTTTCTCTGAAAGATCAGAGAATGGTGAAGCTGAACAGGTGGTAAGCTGGTCACCGACGACCTTTGGAGTGGATAGCATGTGTAGGCAAACGTAGTCTAGGATCCAGCTAGCAGTAACGATATCAGCATACTGGCTGGTAGATAGTAATTCGATACGAAGAGTTAGAGACCGAGCCCAGTGCCATGCTTGAACTTGCTAAAGTTTATTGTAGATGGTGCTAAAAAATACAAATAATGAAGATATTGTTTTGACGCTAGCCGTGATCATGATTCGTAAATGTAATAAAGAATATTAATATTTCTTTGTCATGATTAGATCATTAGATTCTGGCAAATGTAATATTTTTGTGTTAAAATAGTCTATTAGTTTATCGAAGAATGAAGCCCATAAAACATCATATTGTGACGTAAGTACCCATAGGAGTCGAGCAGTATGTGAAACCACGGAATAGGCCCTACTAACTTAGGTAAGTATAATAACAGAGTTAAATAATATCGTAAGCTACTTATATTTTTTATCATTTCACATTTTTACGCATGCGCTCACTTTTGCTTTACGATTTCGAGAAGAAGTCATGCAAAGTTATATCTAAATTTGATTTTTGATTTGATAAATTGATTTGATTAAAATTTAGAGATGAATGAGAGTAGAAGTTAAAATTGTTATCTATAAAATACAAACTTAATTGGCCAATGAAAAGTACGTGTAAAGAATTAATACGCAGGTACTCCGTCCGTACCTATCTAGATTAGTACTAATATTTACAATTAAAAATATATTTAAAGCATTTAACATATTTGTGTTGATATCAAAATAAAAAATCACAGGCATGCTGTGTATCATAGCATAATAGTCGATTTAAGATTGTTGTTCCGATTTCCCTCGTTAACTAACAACCCTTCCGTCGTCCTGGATGCACTAGTGTTTCCGGTGTGCACTATAGGATACCTACGTACCTATATGCGTTTTCTATTAGCTACCGGTGGGGTGGCTGTAAAATCAATATCGCGTCGCGTGCCCGCCGGATCACACGGCTGTCGCGTCCTGTTATAATTTATCTCCAAATTTTAATTTTATTTACTCTTTTCTTAATCAGCGCTCATTCGCCAGTTATAACAATTTAAATAATCATTTATTTTGTTAATTAAGAAAACAAAGCATAATGCCTCCCATTAAGCGACGCCGTCAACGAAAGACCAAAGTGACTACCAAGTCAGGTATGTAAAATTGTATTAATTTATTTAATTTTAATCTACAGTAGCTATATTGTTTATTATTTAATATTATAATCTGTATAAGTACCAAGCAGATTGGGAAAAGAAACACGAAATTGACAAGTACTTTCAGACTTCTTAAATTATTAATTTCTAGATTATTTAGAATATATTATTTAATTTTGATAAATTCGGCAATGGGTCACTACATGGGACTAATATATACTATAACTGGTGTAAAAGGGATGGTATACTGTATAAATAATGTACCGATACCTACTTCTTTGAGGATTATAATTCGCATATTTGGTGTTCTTACAAAATAACCAGCAAATAAAGCTGTAAATAATAAAAAATAATTACGTAATGATTATGTACATATATATCTAATACGTTAGGAGTTGCGCGGTAGGGGGTGAAAATGCGGTACCATTGCGCGCAGCGCAGGACCGCACCCAATTATGCGCCGATGACGCCAAAAGCTTCAGCACTTCCATCCGGAAAATACTTATCAATCATTGAACTTTAACATACATAACCTTGGTTATATCAATAGTAATTACTCCCAGACTACCTTACTTAAGTATATTTCTAATAACATATCGTGATTTGAGTCCTAAAATAACTTATGCGACTTTTGCGCTATCGTGGTTTTAAAGGTAAGAGTGTGGGGTAAGTTCTCCCGCCACCCTCTCGCCCTCCCTCCGACGCCTCCGAACTTTCCTGAAGTTTGTAGGCGGCGACGCTATATACAAGTTGCAAGATTTCTTTCCGCAGAATTTATTTTGTATATCTAATTGTAAATAGCCATTAAAGGCAAGTTCGTAATTACAGCCTTTGTTTTGTGCACGGTGTGACTTTAACAGATGGGGTTGCCTTGAGCTTTCTAGCTACATTAAAACCTTTCACTTCGGTGCCGTTCGATGCACTTACGTTGTTTTGTTGACCGTGCATCGATTTCTTAGATATCATAGACATAACACCGTTCTTTAATAGATGTTTAAATTTTAGCCTGGACTCGAACCTTAAATGTTGAGTTACAGTATGGTGGCTTGGAGTTTAGGATTGAGAATTCATTTCAAATATAAAATCAGTAATTAGTGGTTTTACGTTATTTAACAGACCTTCAATTTTATATTAATATTTGTGATTTATTGATAATAATATAATATTATACCCATGCTCATATTATATTAAGGAAACTAGAAAGCCCTCTGATCGGTTATGAGATATTATCTGACATCAAATGTTACAAACATATGACACGTAAAAGCTATAGGAATATTTTTAGTAAAGTAGGTATTACAGATACATTTATTTATCTATGTGGGAACTGTATTTTCTAGGAGGATTTATTCATTGATATCCTTTATTTACTAGATTGTACCTAAACCTCTATATTTATTTTATTTTATACTTTTTGATCCATATTCTAACCACAAGCAAACTTAAACAAAATATGGTGGTCGCTGGTAAAAATTATAATAATATCTATGTAGTTTTAATGACTAGTTACCTACCGAAATGTAACGTGTTATGTGTTTCTTGCTCCTACCATTTACTCTTCTCTGCATCACCCAAAGGTGAGACTGGCATTAAGTCCACCTAATGTAAACTCTGTGCATAGCATAACCACATGTTAATGTGGGGACAAGGGGCATGTAGATACACTTTTATTAATAACTGGAGAGTCCCTAAACAGATTCGGGATTAGACATACGAGAACGTCGGTTCTGATCTATCAACAAAAAAATAATTTCACTTGTAAGCAGACGAAAATAAATTTTTAAGTATGAATTGAAACTAAACTGATTTAACTAAAATATTGGTAAATATACCTAATGACAAAGTTTAAAAGTTGTGGGGGTAAAAGTAGGAAGAATAAGCGAATGTGTGCAAATACACGATAGTATAGATACTTATATGCAGTCTCAAAAAAAGCACACTCATAGAATAATGGTATAATCGAGTGCTCAACTTCTTTTAAGACTTTGACTGCCAATAAAAAACTGTTGAAGGTAAATCCTCCGCTAACGCTGGTCACCGGTGACCCCCATGGCGTTTAACGTGTTAAGGAGAAACTTATGGGGGAGGGACAAAATCTATACTATAAATGAGAATAAACGAATCGAACGACACGGAATCTATACTATAAATGAGAATAAACTATTACGAAGTATTAAATTAAAAATAACAAAAACTACTAACATAAAAGTTCACTAGAAAATAACAAACAATTTAAAAAATTACGTTCGTTAGGGAACCGCTCAAACCTACTTGCTACACCATCTAGAAGCGAATAATTTAATTTTTTATTTAAATATCACAACATAGTTAATGGATAAGGCTATTAATTGAGACATTTGTCAAAAAATTGGAGGCTCACTTCTGTAGTAATGGTGCCACAGCTTGGGCTTCAGTAAAGTATTGAAAACTGATATAAGACTGCACGGTTGGTGCGGTGGCTGTGCAACTGGCTGGGTTCGATTCCCGCACGGAACAACTCTTTGTGTGTTCCTCAGATTGTTGTTCCGGGTCTGGGTGTAATGTGTATGTGACCTATGTTTGTAAACGCACCTACGACAAAGGAGAAAATATAAGTGTGGGTTTAAAAAATACAAAATGAAACCTGACATAAAACATTCAAATTAAAATGATATACTAATAATTAATACAGCAGCATAAGTCCTCCTATTAGGTTAGTACCTAGTAATGTTAGCAAATACTGTTCTTTGTTTACTTTTAAACTTTATGGATTTTAGCACCTAATCTGAATAAGTAAAATTACTGTATTAGTTAATTTGTGCAGTTTTGCCACGACGAACATTTGCAACCTGGCTCGACGACACAGTACGATCGATCCGCTTCGCTGCGGGCACAGTCCACACAGCTAAAACGGTAGCAAACACTGGGACATCTCCATTAAGCACAGCCCACGACTTGCTGCAGTCAGCGGCAAATTCGCTCTGCACAGCGGCTAAATCAATCAGATCAGCCGCAAACTTGGTGCATGCAAGTTCTCCGAGTAATGATCCATCTGCCAAAGCGCTCTGCGCCAGACTCCGCTTATCGGCAAACTGGCTCGTCTCTGCTGCGGCGCCTCTCCGCTCGTCACCGCCCTCGATCCACGATGCTCTTCAAGTAGCTGCTGTTGCTCTTCGGAAGGCTGCGTCGTCTTTAGACACAGGTCAGCTCAGATAGCTGATTCTACTCCAACACAGAATTTAAAAAATTAGTACTCTTGTATGTTTTTTTTGTTCTCTATTTTTATTAAACATTTCACTTTAATCCACTGCCCCTTACGACACCTGTTCTATACTTAATAGAACATAAATATCGACGATATAACTTTCAAGCCATAAAGGCATTCAGCACTATAAAGGACACTAACGTAACTATTGTTTTTTTTTATCTTTACTACAAAATATATGTTTTCCAAATTTGAAACCATCTTTTATATTCTATGTTTTTTTGTCTTTAGGTGAGGTCGAATCTACGCTGAGATTAAGAGCTAGCTTGCGAAGAGGTAAAACAAACGTGCTACTGGCTTTGTCCGCGAAAGATTACAATCATTCACTGCCATTACCGCTGTCACTCTTGAGCTTTATATATTCAATCAATCGCTAACAGCATCTGGAGTATCATTTGATGTCACTAAGTTTTCTCATCGATCACATCACTACTAGATAAAAATTGTGAAAACTCGAAATGTAGGTAGATAGATAGCTAAGATTTTAGAGAACGTGTATGAGCATTGGTCATAATTATAAACTGGGTACTTATAACATGTGATTCAATAACTACCTATAGTACCTAGGCATATCAGTTTGGGTTCTCATAGTTATGTTTTTGTCATAATTTCCTATAATGAGGGATATAAAGCAATTCTACATAGTGCCTCGTCCAGGCCCGTGTCGTTGTCCTGGTATTGTAATCGGGTTCTCTTAGACTACGTTGGGGCTCGTGGGCACACAATAATTCGGGACCCGTTTGCAATGTTTCTTTTTTTATTTTTCCCACACTAGGCTTTTCAAGCATACAAGTTCACATGCATATGGCACCCAGACTCGCAACAACAATTTCTGGATCACACAAAGATTTTCTACGTGTGGGACTCGAACCTACCAAACGTTGCGCGGTTGCCGCACAACGTATAGCGGGTGTGTCCGTCGTGAAAATTGTTGGTCCTTAGAGGCCCCTTGAGGATGGGGGCCCCGAGCATGGGCCCCGAGTGCCCTAATGGTAAAAACGTTACTGGTTCTATTAATTTGTCAATATATTTTTGTTGTTGAGATTCATTTTTGAACGTAAGATGTCATGACATTACCATTGCATTGCCATAAAACATTAGGTCCCATATACGATAATGTGCGTATTCTTTTAAGGTTTACATTTATTTGTGTGTACATATGTTTACTACCTAAATAAAAGTACTTAGGTAGCATGTAGATATTCAAGTAGGTACAGCCTGGTTGGTCCAATGTTCATAGGCTGCTGAGTAAAAGGCTTAGCACCTCCTGCCTGAAACATAAAGAATGATTGCGAAAAATGGTAATATGTAAAGACAGAAATCACACAAAGAAAACTACTGGGAGTGTAACTAAAAGAAGGCACACAATATTGTTTTATGTACAGAGTAGATATTATTATTGCAATGAATTCACTATTATAAAATCTTCTTTCCTGTACTTTTTACAAGAAAAATATTTGCAAATTTGAACTAGCCACAATTGTACTTAAGTAATGTAAGAACACCGCAAAGTACATTTCAATGAAAATTTAGGAAGAAAAATAATGCCCGCACATCGTGAAAGCACAGCGGCGCTTTTTTTTATAGTGTTTTCCTTTATGCTCATGTGATTATGATACACACTTTGTTCTGTTCTGATGAACCTCATATAGCAATTTCAACACTGAGTCATCCATCGATATGTCATAACTGTTTTTACATACGATTGCTTGTAATGACTAATGAGTCTGCAAAATTTCATCACAAATAAAGTTGGGCGAAATTTTAGTCTGCCACGCGACTTTCTTTTTATATCAGGAACAAAAGTCCATAAAAAAACTACTTAAACTTATAGCAGAGTAAAATAATTATGTAGTAATTTTGTATGTTTATGCAAGTCACACAGGGGTTGATACCGTATGAGTACAATGCAATTGTCCTTTTTCCTTTTTTGTCATTCATAATTATGTACTGACTCCATTTTAATTATCATCAATATTATGATGACTAAGTACGCGTACTTACATATAGTACTTACATCATAATTTATTCTTTCACCAGACGCGGTAGCTGAGCCACAGGTGAGTAGCAGTGAAGATAACTCCCACGAACAACCGGCTACTACATCATCAGGCTGTGAACAGCGTCACCATACAGACCAAGAAATTCAAGACAGAAAATTACGAATCCAGAACGATGGTGATAGTGACACAGAGTCAAACGAAAGACCAAGGGAGAAATTGACAAAACCAGAAAAATCGGAAGAAATGCTTAAACTGGAAGAAAAAACGGTACAGAATCAATCAAAAGAACCTATTGAAACCAGTAGCCCCATCAACAAGGATAATACAGACCCAGAAAATACAGAAAAGCCCGCAGTGCTTGAAGAAGATAAGGAAAAGGTGGAAAATGAAACCAACAATTCCGAAACAGTAAACATTCCGAAAGAAATGAATGAAAACATAATTATCATAGACATAGAGCTGGTGAGCGAAGGTGGAGAAAATGAACTGGAAACGAAGAAAAGTAATGACGAAGCGTCAAACGAAAATGATTCGAATAGTCATATTGATGAGTCTGGAATAAAGGAAGAGGACACAAACAAGGAAAGAAAAGAAGAGTTGGCTATTAATCTTGAACCGAAGAATCAAAAACCAGAAAAAATGGAAGAGACGGAGAGTGACCAATTGGAGCCCAAGATTTAAGGTACATACACATCCAAATTCTAAGTACCTACCAGTACAATAAACAGCAAATAAAAAATACGTGATAGTTAAAATAGAATACATTTACTCGCAGCCTACCTATACATATATATAATATAGTTATTATTTATAATAACTATCTATATCGTATACTATATCGTGAAACATACTAAATTATCTAAACTCGCGGGTTACTCATGTGAAGAATCCTATTCACGTGAATAACCCGCGTTTTCAGTTAATTTAATGTAGTTATTAATTAAAGGGAGAGGAAAATAACATGATACTTCTGTGAATAAGACCTGTCTACACCCTGACATCATACCTATCATTAAACAAAACTTTGGCTTGAAAATCCTAACAATAAATAGTAAGAAAAAGTCACATTAAACAAAATCTGAATTAACGGGAACACAGCAGTGTGCGGGGAGCATGATAGATTTGCAATGAAACTATTTCAGTATTTATGTTGTGGCTGACGATTTTCAAAGTCAAAGCATTTATTTCAATTAATACTTTTAATTAGGCACTTATAAAATGATAAAAATTTAATTGTGCCTCCGTATGTCTGTTAGACAGTAAATCTAAGCGCTCGTAAAATGTAGTTTCGAATGGAGAAAAACGAGATTGACACTCCATCGTTACTCTTTTCAAAGAATGTTTTTCACAATCTCATTAATATTGATACAATATCTGATCCTTTACCTACCTATTGTATATACAACGTTAAACCTACTTCGCCCCCGTCCCGCAGAAAAAAACTAGCCCCAAAGAGTACTTTGAATAAATAAAGTAAAAATAAAAAAATAAAGATGTATTTTTTATTAGTTCAAAATATTAAAATGATCATCGGCCGGCCGATAAATATTTTTTTTCATTTCATTAAACACTTGAAACACTAGATGACAATGTTCGTTTGTTGGCACTATTAGCATCACAAGTGTCACCCGACGAGAAATACGTCTTAGAAAATTATATGGCGTGATATTTTGATAATGTACTTACTTCTTACTTAGTACTTAATTATTTAGTAAGTTGAGTACCGTCATTATAGATACAATTAAAGAACAATAGGTTGCGGTGACCGGTGTCCTTGCGGTGTTTGACAGTTTAAGTACACTTCGAAAACTTCGAAATCGCGTACGAACTCATAAGTTCGTAGGGGATTTTGATGTTTAGTTTTTGCATGGTTAAAATGGCATAGAGTCAAATAGTCTAAGCCTTGAATAATGTTGGGGCCTACCTAACGCCTTTTTTTTATGTTTGCGTTTAACATCGTTTCAGAATTACATGAAGTCTTCGCCTCGAGCCGAATCAGTTTCTTAGAGGCTATCATGGCTACATACGTTCAACATGTTTGGCATAGCGGTAATAACAGAGGGTGAAGATGAACATACAAGGACCTCAGCGCGACTGCAACTACCCTCCAAAAAACACGAAGTGAGCACAATACTAGAGACCTGCTATGGTTTCCACATCTTTTATTGTATGTAGTAATTAGAATTTAAAATTAAATTATAATTCGCAATGCTTGCTTCAGCGAGTGCCAAACTGCGAAAATACTGGCCAAAGTTTAACTTGCAAATCGTTTTTGATGTGAAATATGTACATTCAAAGGCCCCATGTACTTTTGTGCGTGGTCACACTTTATGCACTTAAACTAGCATTATTGAAATGGTTGTGTTAATTTGCTTAGTAAGAATATATAATAAATATGGTTACCTACTTAATTAAAACTTTTGAAAGTTAACTATTCTTTCTAAGTTTAAAAATTTATTCTAAGTTAAATATATTTTTGCCCTCCGAACAATGTGATATATCTGAAAGATAATAGTTATTTATTGTTTATTTGTAAGTATGTAGGCACAATGTACATACATTTTAGCTGTTTTTCTCCTAGCTTTCACTTATTTTCGGTAATGAAACATTAGGATATCATAAACACAATTCTCATATACATAATATATTTTCGTAAGTATTTTACTTTTAGAAAAAAAAAGAATATTTTTTTCTGTAGTATTTATTTATTGCTTTCTTTTAATTTAATAGTTGATAACATGTTTTTATCGAGGAGGTAAACCTACTCGTTTGAAGAATTTATAAAAGTGTGATTGTTTAGGAGTTCAAAGAGATATTAGTCTGATCGTACATACTTACCTATAACTTAGTTGGCTTCTTACTTTTATTTTAAAATCGAGGAGCTTATTTTAGATTGTTAGGGGCCTACTTGATAATGTCTATCTACTAAATAGCGGGAGCGAACGTACAAAAGTGTAACAGTATTGTAAATATCACATGGTCTACAATAGGAAACGATGTTTCCTTGGGGCTACTCGTGTTGGGTGCACCCAACATATAATAATTTAAGCATTTAATCAATATTTAATGAAGTATATATAAGTATTATAGACACAATACTTAATTTGTCTCAGATTTTATAAATATTTAACTATTTTGGCTCATGCAATTTTGTCAAAATTTGTTAGTAGGTACCTACTTACCCAATTAATATACACATGTAAGTTATTGTAGTTTGTAGTTTGTACTTAGATACAGATAGATATTTCACCATCCGTACGCAAGCAGTTATGCAGCAATAGAAACATGATTATTCACGATTTCATTATAATACTACTACCTACTTATAAGTATAGCTAAAATTTAGATATAATGTAATTTAATCTGAAACATTCGACCGTACCTACAATCTATTATGCTTAGGTAAATCACGGTTAAGTTTTTTTAATGACATATGTGCCAGCAGGCTAAATGAATTGACTGTGAATAAATTGGGTTCATTTTCGTATATGTATCTAGGTACTGCCTCTGGTAAGGCAGGCATTTACATGTTTGCTCAAAATTAATAACATAATCTGGTTATATCTAACTTAATCATTTAATTATTATTATAATCTAGGACGTATGTTAGTGTGTAGGTACGTATGCTAATTGTTTAAAAATAAGATGATCAATGCTACTACAAGTACCTTACACTGTTTAAAGTAATATTAGGGATGTAATATAATTAAATTAAATTAGAGAGAACAAAAAAAAAATAAAAAATCAATAAAATGTAAAAAAAAGTACGTAATATAAAAAGTAGACGTAAGCACATAATCAGTAGATTACAACCAAAAAACGAAAATGTTGAAAACTAGGTGTTGATATAATCGATGTTGTGTATTATGGATGTTGTAATTAAATTATTATTACATAGGTACTACCTATATTTAGGTACCTAGTTCTAAAATCTTCATAAATTTGCTCAGCCCACTCTAAACTAGTAAAAAATATTCACCCTAGGGGTACCTTATTTATTTATTTATGCGAGAGCGCGTACCTAAATTATCTTTTCCGTCTATTTATCTCAAACCTTTCGAAATCTTTACTATTTACAACCCTACAGGGTGTTTGAATATACTGATAGAGCGAGGAACTGATCGAATTTATATACCTATTTTCGTCATTTCTATTTTGGTTGTTCCCCTTGCATTAATAAAGTATACAATCATATATGCTTGTTTTAATAAATCCCTACTAACCCTACATTGAAACATAAAGTAGTAAGAGATAAAAGTAATAACTGAATCTGGAGCAATTTGGTTTTTGAAAGGGTGTAAAGATGATATGTAAATAAGCCAGGTTAAAATGGATGATACTTGGATGGAACACGAAGGTAACCCATAGTCAGAAAAGGAAATATTTACCTATTTACTTTAAAAAAAAATTGAAATATGAGTAGGTACATGAAAAGAAGAGTGTATGCGGATAGCAGTATGAATGGTGACATAGCTATATAGGTACAATATTACAGTCGTGGTTAACTAGTCGAAGTTCTTGAAGGTTCGTCTGGCTATTCATGACGGTGTTTTAGTACCAGTCAACTCTAATGCATGGAAACGAATGCTAAGTTTGGCTGAAAAGACATGAAAGTAGGAAAAATAGTAATATACCCTGAGAAGTACGTGCGGTGATGGTGCCGTGATACTTTGGCTGGTAGGTACAGAATATCACCACAGATGGGGTCCAATAGAGCTGATATCGAGCTGCGAAAGGCCTAACGGGTTGCCGGGGCTCCGGCTCGACGTGCAGGAGAAGGAACGGGGTGGTTTTTAGTCAGTAAGAGTCTGACACTTCCTCTCGCGTAACTCAAGGCGGGACAAGAAATTGGATGATTTTCCCCGTCAAAAAAAAGGTACCTATAAAATATATTAAGAAAATGTTGTGCGTTGTTGGTAATGCCAGTTATGACAGTAGGAGCCGTTCTAAAAAAGCGATGCTTACTTCGTAGGACTGAGAGATGCTTGAATGATGAACTTGATGTGTGTTTGTATAACCAGAGGGCCTAGTGCAAGTTTCTTTTGATATGATCGATCGATATGATCATGACATTCGGCACTCTGATTGGCCAGCTCCGATCAACCAACCCACCTGAGTTTAGAAACTTGGAAGCGTTTCGATCGCGTCAACATAAAACATCTCTCATTAGACCCTCAGTGGCGTCATGGAAGCATTAGAAGCTACAGAAGTTTACAAAGGTGTGCGTTCTGAATTGGAACTGCTCATTAGAAGTAAGTACATTTAACGAATGAATTTTAATTCTTACGAATAAATATAAAAATTGTATTGCTTGGTATTACTACTTATTATAAAATTTTCATGAATCGAAAGTAGCTCTATCTATTTACTAGTGCAGGAAGCTTCGATAAGCAGAATCAGCTAGGTAGAGGTAGTGCTCACGAAACATACTAGATGGCGTTACTGGTCTGGTTAGATAAATATTTCGTGTAAATGAATGAGCCTTGTGAGTTTTAAGCATTGCTTGTAAGTAATTAATTAAAAGTAGTGCTGGTTCGAAAACTGGCAAGTGCCGCCTTTAGCAAGCAACTGCCACGTGTAGGTACCTTACCTACATTTTTTATCTGTCCCTTTTTTATTGAGCAATCCTGGACTTATGATTTAAAATTAGATGCCTATATGGTTATAAGGTTGTAATCGCT